TTATAATGATGGCTTTAAGTTTTAAGAAAGCCAACTGGCTATTATTTAGATCGTAAATAGATAATAAATAGATTTTAATCTAAGGTCTTGGTCGAAATGAAAACGCAAGTTTAACGAGCGGGATTCGAACCCACGACCATTGGCTAAATACGCCGCTGCGATAACCGCTTGAGCTATCATGAATTCGATCCATACGTCACCAACTCATCCTCACCTTAACCTACGACCTTTCGAAGGTCAAGCCGAAGGTCGTGGGTTCGAATCCCTCTCGTGACATTTGCTTTTTATCCCGACCAAGACCTCAGATTAAAAGTATAATTAATTATATCATCAACAATATTCGATTAGTGGAACCATACGTCAAATAATTTAAAAAAATTAAATCTCGCGTTGCGATTTTCGTTGTGATGACTGCGTGAATTCAAAAATTAATTTTGGATAATAACAGTTTGTATCACTAGTGTTTTTTGTGTGTAAATAGTGGATAAAAAAAGGGACTTCTACTCATTTCAGGATCTAGATTATTTCATGACCTAATTGAACAGAATTTAGGCCAAACCTTAGAACAATTTAATCTTATAAAAAAAAATGTAAAAAGTAATCACTGTTCCCAATATGAAATCGTCTAAAAATACAAAGACTTAACAACGAGACAATTTTTAATAACCTTTGATAACAAGAAATGAAATTCAATGAAACACAATTATTATTGAGGTCAATACTTAACAGAATCGACGCTATCAAAACTTTGCGTCGGAATAACTAGTATAAATTTGTAAAATTAATATATAGAATAATAATATATAAAATATATATAATTTTGCACTATTCAGGGAAATAATATTCAACAATATCAACGAAACATTAATTATACAAGAGTGTAATAAGTAATAATCTTGACCCGATTGTAGGAGGATATGAACATTTTTAAGTTATGATAATTCTTTTTATTTCAAGATATTTAACTAAAGGGCAGATTTATTAGCAAAATTCTATATTCAATTATTTTTTTGTAAATTTTTGAACTAATGATTCTTTTTTATTTAGACATGTTTTTCTCTTTCATTTATCTGTATGTGTGGTGTTTAGTGACCGTTACTTAAATGATTATTCGGAGATCGTGAGATGCGGTTTGATGTGACGTAGGTTTAGACAAACATTTTCATTATCGTGCCAACGTTTCGATCTTTATTGAGCCCTGAAGATGATCTCTTTAAAGATCGAAACGTTGGCACGATAAAGATTATGTTTTTCTAAAACCTACGCCACACCAGACCGCATCTCACGACCTCCAAATAATTATCTGTGAATAGTTTATATATTAATAATATAATAAAGAATGAAACCCTGGCAGACGTTTACCATGCCGATTCATGTTTCTATGTTTATTTCTACATTAATATTTTTATTGTATTTTTTATGGTGCGATAAACTTTATTATTATTATTGCCAAAATAATTGCGGTAAGGTTGAACATACAATCTCGCTATTTTTTAATTATAGAAACATTAACAAGTAACAATTTTATATTTCCTAGTACAATCTGGTTTTTCGAGTTGTTAGAATATAATTTTGGAATCGTTGATATTTTCTGTGTGTCAACAAAAGAAAAAGAAGAAAGAGTTTCATATGCCGTGTGCGATGCCTAAACAATGAGTCATGTAATACTAATCACACAATGAATTATCAAATAAAGAACTGGATGGCTAGATGATAGTAACAAATCAAAGCAATAAAACTAACCGAATCGTGATTAAAGTCTTCAAATGCAGCGTTATGATAACCCTTGCATGCAAGACATTTTATTTATCTGTACATATTTCATATAACTTGCATTATGCGTCGAGATGAATATGTTAATGTAAATTCATTAGTTTTCGTGGTCCGCTTGACCAATTAATATCTTTCAATTAATTAAGTTGTTTAGTTGAGATAAAAACGTCAGTGTCACGAGCGGGTTTCGAACCCACGATCTTCGGCTAGATACGCCGGCTGCTCTACCACTTGAGCTATCGTGACTTCGTTCCACTCGGACACTAACTTCCCATCTCAACCCCACCTTTCGAATTTTCCCTCCTTTTTGCCATTTTTGAAATGCCCTGTAATCTATTTGATGCCCGGCGACAAATGAAATAGGCACGGAGAGCTTTAGTGAAGATATACTTCATTTTAACTTATTAAATTCACTCGTTTTTGTGGTCCGCTTGACCAATTAATATCTTTCAATTAATAGTTTAGGTCGTGGGTTCGAATCTCGCTCGTGACACTGACTTTTTAATCTCAATTAAAAACTTAATTAATTGAAAGATATTGATGTAAATGTAAGGGTTGCGGATTTTATGATGCATGGTTTCTGTTCGTCTATTTTGTAACTTGAGATAGATTCTGAGCATTTTCTCATCGGGCATTTATAAAAGAACGTTCACCATTTACAATTCAATGATGAACCATTGCCCAACGACCGGTCACCGCCGTTTGTCATCGATTGAGCAAATGAACCGATAGATTATGCATGCCTGACGTGCCAGCGGGGAAACAAAAATTGGCCTATTTATCACTCCGTTTTTGGCCCAACGTCTAAAAATAAACGCCGGCCCACATTTCCCCCCCGGCCGCCTCCCACCAGATGGATTTCCGTTATTTTGGAACCGAGTCGGAAGCAGAAATTACAAGCACCTGTCGGCGTAAGCCCTCTTCAGTATAATCGTAGAAACTTCCCCCTGGATACACCGAGGTAGATAAACTGCAAAACAGAGTCCGCGGCCAATTTCGTGTCAGATAGAAACGTCCTTTTCCCCACAATTAGATAAATCGCCATCGGCGAGAACTGGCTTCTTCTGCGCTACAGAGAATTACAACATTGTAGATAAATGGGTCGACAAAAAATACACGTGGGAGAGGAAAAAAAACCCTAATCTGGAATTGGGCCGACTCCGAAGTTAATTTAAAAGCTGTTAGCCTTTTATTATCTCTCGACTAGGTCGCGCAAGAAGACGATAAGATAGAAAGATTACAGGCGGGATGATAGACATTTTCAAATAGATATACACAGTGTAGCAATAAAAAATAATGACATTTTTGATCCAACTTTGATTCTTCCTTGTTTTTAAAACTTACAGAAGCTCTCGAAAATATATTCGATCTCTTAACAATCAAACGTAGGCAACAGGTTTAAATCTCACCTCTAGTTAGAAAGATTGATGTAAGTCGGGGAGCATATGATACTGCGCGCTTTAAGAGCTATTGTATGCCCCGTTCTGTGCTTAAAGCACAGCGGTCCTAGCTCATTAAGAATCTTGAGTCCCGGTTTGAGTGGTTGAATTTCTTCTAAGGTATGACCCAAACACTTCTTCCTGCGGGCAAGTGAAGCATCACACTTGTTACTAGGTGTATTGGTGCCTCCTCTGCTTCTTTGCAAAATCTGCACGTGCCGTGTTGGGTTATGCCAATCTTCTTTAGACGTCCATTTTACTGTAGTGCCCTGTTAAGAATCCTGTTAGGATTCGCAGTTTTTTCCTGCTTACTTTAATACAGTCTGTTACCTCTTTCTTTCCAAAATTTGTCAGGTTTTTGGATTGTTTGTGTCCAATGAGTGAGTTCCATTGTCCCTTCATTTTCTTTTTATCCTTCTGTCTGATATTTGAGTTCAAATCTCATCTCTAACGCCAAGATTTTACTAACATCGATCATTCGAGTTTTTTTTTCTCGCAATTATATGTGTTGGAAATTGAGGACAAAATCGACAATATCTTCCCGATGATGATATCCCCAAGTTCGGGTGATGTCACGAGTCGAATTGTGTGAGAATTCGTAGGCCTTAGAACCACCATCCTGTCCCACTTTCTATTGCCCATCACCTTATATTCGCCTTGGCACGGCTCGGGATGACCTGAGTCATGGGAGTCCTGCCGTTCTTTAAATCGTAAGCCGACCTCGTGAAAAAAGACGTTTGCGGTGGCTGTAAAACGAACGACGAAAATAGCTACTAAACTATAAGCTATAAACCAAACAGACAAAGCAATAGAAAACTATATATTTTTATCTCGTAAGTCAACCATTACGCGTGCAGTAATTGATTGAACATGCTCTTTGAAGAAAATTAGAAGAATAAAATCAATACATATTGTACATACTGTAAAAATTATACAGACCCAAAACATTTATTTTAAATGACATGAAATTCTTACTGAAAAGATTCCAATTTTATATTTTTCTACAACCATAACTTCAGACTTTGATAACGGTGTAGAAAGGATCATCGAACTATATTGCAATGAATTAAAAAGGTGATAACGAGAGCGGGTGGTCTAGATAAATCGTTTTATTGCTGTGCTTTTACGATTTTGAAGTTATGATTATAAGGGTATTCACGCCACTGTTATTGGGCTAACGTGGTTCATAAAATTTATTCTTAGATTTTCGAAAAATCGTCTATAAAAATAGACTACGCGATTAATAACGATTAATTGATTTTTAAGCATTTCCATGTGTACTTAAAAAGGCGGAGTTGCTAGATTATTTGTTTTAAAAGGTGCCTTAATGCACATTAATTTTATCCTCCTTTGTTTTTTATAAGCGGTTAGCACATGGTAATTAAGCCAAAACCAACCCTTCAAAGATTTTGTCATCAACATCAAAAAAATTTTCTACTTTATCACACATAGAGTATTTGTGAATTTAACGGTTTATACTCCCAACCTTTTCCTCTGACTGATTAATAACTTAGAACTTACTATCTATTGCACCTACTATTGTACCTACCATTGCAATGGATTAAAAAATAACACGATTAAGCACTGTTTGCCTGAATATCCAGAACATCACTATAAAATTTATATAAACAAAAATTCAATTATTACAAGATTTTTCTTCCAAGTGGAAAAAAAGTGTTGGAGGTAGCTGGAACAGCCTTATCAATGGTGATCAAATTAACACATTAATAAAATATTTGATCAAAAAAGTACCAAACGAAACCTTAGAATAATTTAAAAACAGTGAATATAACAAGAATAGATTGTTGATTTTTTTTATTGTGAATTACGGTGATGAGACAGCAGTTTGATCATTTCCGGTAATGAACCATGTGGGTCCCACTGTTTGTTCTGATATGGCATTTCATCATCTTCAGTGGGGGATTTGTGTGGATTTTTTAAGATCAGTTTCTTGTGCCTTGTTTTACATAGTTTACTGTTTTACAGTCATTTGTGTCGTGAGATTTTCCTCATGTGGTCTCCGCAGTGTCATCAACCTGCAATTCGATCCTTACACCTTGTCACCTCATAAAACAGATGGCCAAATGCCGGAACGCGTTGACAGTAAAACACAGCGAGAATAGGCAGACCCTGATGAGGTAAGGGTCAAATCATATTTGTATAAGTTGTTGATTTGTGTGTCTATGCATTTCTTAATTGTGGTTTTTCGCCAGTTTTGTACTTCATAGCGCAATATTTACATAAAATTAGGAGTAAAGTCCTTTCTATAGTACATCGAGTTTCCAATCCGTCTAATTTTATTGTCTGCCAACGTGTCATCTAACTGTTTACAGTTTCATAAAATATTTAATCTTACTAGTGTCTCCAAGCATACCATCTAGCTGCTTTTATTACCCCACAATGTTCTATTTAGCCATTGCACCTTCCACTGTACTTCCTATGATTACCATCTAACTATTTAAGTACCTCCCTAAGTTCTACCTAACGTACCTTTTACTGTTTATATTAACTTAACGTGTTGTAACTTACTAGTGTCTACCAACGTACGATCTAACAGCTTTTAGTACCTATGAACGTTCTACATACCTACATTGCTTTCCATCGTACCTTACGTTTTCACCAATTCCCAACGCACCATCTAGCTGCTTTTATTACCTCCCAGTGTACAATTAGCCATCGTACTTCCCATTCTTCTTCCTATGATTATCACCTAACTTTTTGAGTACCTCCCATGTTCCACCTAATTTTCGTGTGTTCAAACGTACTATTTTACTGTTTGTAGTATCTTAAAATGTTTCGACTTACTGGAGTCTACCAACGTACCATCTAAGTGCTTTTAATACCTCTGAATGTTCCTTTTGGTCATCGTACCATCTACCTTCTGACAGTGCTTCCCAAGGATCCATCTTATTTTAGGGTCTACCAACGTGTCATCTAACCATCTCAAAACGTTTCATCTTACTAGTGTGTCTTCTTGTGACATCTTAATGCTTTTAATACCTCCCAATATTCTATCTATATAACAACTGTGTCTTTTATCATACCATATTTTCAAAGTGAGTACTTCCCATTATACCATTGTGCTGCCTACATTCTCATAATATTCCATTTTCCTATCGTATCATCGTACCATTTATCTGCTTTTGGTACCTCCCAATGTTCCTTCGAATTCTAGTGTCTACTACATGCCATCTAACTATTTATAGTATCTCGAAATGTTTCAACTTACAAGTCTTCGACCATACCATCTAACAACTTGCCGTACCTCACAATGTACCATTGTTCGTATCGTATCAAACCTGTGTACCTTCCAAAGTTCAATCAAATTTTAATTCAACTATCTATGGTATCTCAAACTGTTTCATTTTACTAATGTCACCCAATGGACCATTTACCTTCCCAATGTTCTATATAACTAAAATACCTTACATTAAACCATCTAGATGCTATCATTACCTACCAATGTTCCATTTAACCATCGTACTTCCCATTTTACAATACAGGGTGTATCAACTTCTGCAGTCCACCTATGTAATTCTGGAAACGATTAACTTGAGCAAAAAATGGTCTTATACAAACCGCAAGTTAATTTCGGATAGGAATCGCGTGGTAGTAACAAATTTAACATAACTTTCTCATCTAGCTGAGAAAATACACTAAATTCGTTATTTTAAATAAGAATCCCATATTTTTATTATACAGTTCGATTCTAGAATTTATTTTATGCCACTTTAACTGAACGGAAGGTTTTGATAGGATCGACCATTTCTGAGTTATGCCCGACGGAAGAAGCGTGAGCTTTTTGTAACGTTTCTTTCGAAATCGATGAGCTTGAGCAAAAAAAGGTCTTATTGTTATCTTATCAAACCACAAGTTAATCTTGGCTAGGAAAACATTCCCAACTAAATGAGAAAGCTATTTTAAATCTGTTAGCTCCATACGATTCCCAGCCAAAAGTAACTTGAGTTTTGTATAAGATCATTTTTTGCTTAAGTTAATCGTTTCCGAATGAAAGTATATGCTTAAGTACGTCCTAGATAATAATGAGTACCTAATTGTTAGAGTAATCTCTAATTAATTCTCAGTGTTATATCCAACTACAGTACCTCTCAATGAACCAAATACGTTTATGGCATCTTTAACGTACGAACCAAATTTAGTTTAAAGAATAGGTATTTTTCAACGTAACTGAAGTTTATGTTTTTCCCAGTACCATCTTACTGTAGGAGTTTAGATTATCTTACAACGTACCACCTATTACCTTTCTGCAACATAAATAATTTATACTCCAAGATACAGTTATATTTTTTGTGTTCCATATTTAAGACCCACTATAGATTTAATTGAATATTGATCGAATACGTAATTTGTAAAAGAATTAATGGTTTTTGTTCTGTTTATTGATTACAGGATTCAGGAGGCATTGGCGTTCGCTGCTTTGTATTCTTTAAAAGGATTCAACTCTTTTGAACTTAGACGATACAATCGCTCGGTCAGGAAGAAACTTCAAAGGTTTTATAATTTTTTAAATAATTATGAGTGGGTATTCTGTATTTTTTACCGCAATCAATACAAGAGCAAACATTCCACACCCACCTTTTGTATGTTGAGAGTTAAATGGATTGTTTTATGATCTACATGTAGAAAAAGGTTTTACAATGGTAAGACAGAGTTGTAATATTTATTGCCCCTGTATAAAGTAGGCCTTCGGCCTTGTTGGACGAGCAACAATGTTTTGATAAAAACGTTTAAAAAATATTGTATATAACGAATCTTTTAAAAGGGTAAAGGCTGTAGGAAATTTTGTGATTTCGGAGAACTTGTTGCGCAACGATGCCTGTAAAATAAACGAAAGCTCTCATCGAAAAGAATCGAACTTGAACTTTGCGGGTAGCAAGTTGGCCAATCCCCGAATTGCAAAACGAGGCAATTTCAGGGGTCTTAATTGGACCGGTTAAATCGGCGGGGTCGAAAAAAGACACGCAGACACGCAGTTCCATCCTGCGCGGGGAGGCGGGTTCCGAGATTGACCTTCGGCGGTGCGGACGGCTCACAGAATGAAAAGTGAAAACGAAGCAAAGTAAAAGTGACGCAAGTTAAGTGAGAGGTGAAGATTGCGTCTGTTGCCCTTGAAGACCCCCTCCCAAAGAACAGGGCCGCTCCTCGACTTCGTTGCATCTTCCCTCTGTTTTGCTGCCGACACAACTTATTTTCCTAGAAAGTATAACTTATAAAACTAAAGCACACACATGTTGTCCAAATTACTAGTTACAATAAGTAATCGATAATACAAGAGGTTCTTTGGCATAATTCGTCCATAATGCAAAGTCAAGGATGTCCAGAAAAGACTAATTTATTGGATTGCCCATAACTGACAATGAACTAATTATAAACGAACTATGAAAGCCCATCTAAGATTTTAGTAATAAAAGCCAACATACATACCGCCCCAAAAAATCTGTAGACCACGTTACGTAACATAAAAATAAACTGCATTTGAAAATCCATATTAAACTGATAATAATAATAATAATAATGTAGAAATAATAATACTAATGATAGTTAAAACTCTCTTTCACTGCCTTGCCCTCTCAAACCTTCTCACTTTCCCACTCTCACTCACTCTCTATCCTTCTCTCTTCTCTCCCCCATCTCACCATTTCCCTTCGCTTCTCTTCTGTTTCCTCCACTTCTCTTTTTTTTCTCTCTCTCTCTCTCTCTCTCTTTTCTTTTTTAACTCACTTTCTTTCATTATCTGTCTCTGTATCGAGTCATTGTCTGTCTCACTAAAAGAGAGTGATTGGTTAAAGGATTTCTCGTTGTATTGTTTTTTCAATTTTTGTATTATTGCATGCAAACCAATCTATGTCACTCCCCAATCTCTCTCTATCTATCTCTCACTCACTCTCTCTCTCTCTCTCCCCCCCTCTCTCTCTCTCTCTCACTCACTCTCTCATTTTCTCTCTCTCTTTCTCTCTCTCTCTCTTTCTCTCTCATACTCTTTTCACGATCTTTATCGGCAGATTAATTACCAAATATAGCCTGGCTAGGGTTTCGTTAAAAAAAGTTAATAAGTTATGAATTTGAATCAATTAGAAAAACCCTAACAATATTTTTGAGAAAACAAAACAAAACAAAAACCACGTAAATGAAAAGTCTATAATCAAAAAGGGTTTAGTAGATGGAAAAAGACCGCTCTTAATGCTTCTCAGCAAGATTAAAACGTACCTATAGATTAAAAAGTAGCCGATAATTAATAAATCGTCTATAATTAAAGCAGCTTATATTTGGTTATAAGTGATAATATTTACTTTGTTTGTAAGCACGCCTTTTAGATTAGAAATCTAATTTTGAATGTTTTTTACCTAGAGTTAATTCCTCAATTTTAATAATTTTTTTATATACTTTTTCATTAATTTTTTGTATAATTTTAACCATTTTAATTCATTTTTCCCCTTATTTTTTTATAATCATAAAATTATAATTAATTATAATAACAATTTTCTAAATTTAAAAATCCCATATCTTATTACTTTAGAATTACATTTAAAAACACAGTAGTTTTTTAAATTTATTATATTGAGTTAGATTTTATTTTTCCTTTATTTGGTTAAAACATTATACTATAATTTATTTTACGACAGCAGGTTAAATGAAAGAATTTATTTATTAGTAACAAAACTCAAATATTTAATAACGAATTATTAATGTCTATAATCCATTTAAAACTTTAAAGACTTTTCGTTAAAAAACATCTGAACCTATGTAAACAGTTATTTTAAAATAACATTAGCGTTGTTTTATTCCTGACTAGTTAATTTAAAGCATCGATCAATAATATACAAATAATTTATAGTTTTACAACCTGATTGTCGTAATAATAAACATCAATTTTAATGACCAGTAAAAGTGGTCACTATTGACGTAAGTGTGCTAGGATTTTTTTAAATCTTGAGGCTACTGGATAAAAAAAATATTCCCAATATTATTTTTTGATATTTAAAATTTAAATAGATACAGAAAAGAAAAATCTTGTTCGATTTCAAAGAAATCCGAGTGGCTAAGCAAATTTGATTTGTTGTAGGGATAAGTAATTTTAATAAAGACATGATTTTTGGTTAAAAAAATAAAATAAAAATAAAATAATAAAAACCACACATACACATACATACGTAGAATATCATAAGAAAATAAAATATTAACTTTAAAAATGTTAAAAAAATTAGCTTCATGAGTTCACATAAGAAACCATCCCTAAACGTAATTATACAAGATAAATAAAAAAATTAGGCGTCGGTGGCCGCAACGGTTTAGGCATTCATCACTGTAAGGTAAAGGTCCCGGGGTCGAATCCAGCGGCCCTGCATTCGAACCCGACATGCTCACAAATGGGCTTTTTTCAAAAACCCGGCACCCCGACGGTTGATAGAACCTCTGCTGTTGCGAACCCTCGTAAATAAATAAAAATTCAGATAGAAAATAACAAATCAAGTCTTTTGGGTTTAGTCAATACTTATGAAACACAAATATAATCAGATTTTACAAATTCGTACATTTTTATTTTCGCGAAAAACGACAAAAAAACTTCCGCAATAGAAATTTAGTTTAAGAGATTTGTATAATAGTGTACAGTAGTAGTTGGCTTGTGCATTATTTAAAGCACTGATGTTTCGTAACAATCGAACAGAAAAAAAACCTTGTGCAAATCACGTTCTGGCAATTATCCTTTAGGAAAACGGAACAAAAAAAATCCTTATATAATATACGGGCTATGTCGTACATATATGATTCTTGCTTTTAAAAATTGGTCGGAAGGAATATCTGTTGGTGTGTTGGGAACCAAACAGGAATTAGCCCATTTGGGCTACAAAACTTGGGCAAAAAACGCGAACGCCCAAAAAATACAAACATCAACAGGACTTCTTGGTTTTTTTTTTCAAATAGCTTTCATCTATACGTAAACAGTAGATAATATATCAAAATAAATAATTTTTACTTAATTAAGGTATCTATTAATACAGTAAACATATAACTTATAGAAAAACAATACAAATTATACTTTTCAAATTTATGAAAACATCGGATTTTTTTAAATAATCCACTACTTTAAACTGATCCTTATAAATTTAATGTTTTATCACTGATCTTAAGAAAGGGCAAAATAAAATAAAAATCCTTATAAAGTAGACCTCCAGAAGTCGAACTAGAAAATAAAAATAATGTTTTTATTCTTTATTTCTTGGAGATGTATTCAAATAAAAATGTATTTCCATTCATTTCACGATCTATCCAATTTACTCAAAGACATTTTCACCCAGATCTTTGAGAAGAATAATTTTTTATGTGCCTAGTGGGCTGAGCTTTTGAAAATTAAAGAGAGTAGTTTATTTTCTTCTTACGCCAGAAAAAGAAGAAACATATTCCCTCATTTTCATTTTTTCTTGGTCCATACACGTTACTACAATGTACACGTTATATCAGTTATCTCTGTAAGTACAAACAAAAATCCTTTTATTATATGTTTAAATAGATATGTAATATTACAAAAATGCTTTCTCATGCTCCATGTTGTCTACGGGGTGATGAACCTGAAATTTGGTCGTTGTCGTTCATTTTGATCTGCCTATAGCTGGGACACACACTGAAGATGGCGAAATGAAACGCGCATGACGGACCAACCCAGATAGGCGGAATCAAAATGACCGGTAACGAAAAAATTTCAGGTTCAACTAGGAGAAAACACACAACTCAAATATATCATGTTCATTTCCGAACTAGATCACACTGAAGATGGCGAAAGGCCGAAACGTTGTCGTCCCAGCGAGGATCGACTCACCAAACTGATCGATAACTTCCAAAATTTCCAGATGTAAAAGTCCAAAACTTTGTACACATAAAAAAACTTGTGCACCAGTCATTAAATTCATAACAAATTACGGTTTGACGAGCTTTTAGACAAAAGTGTACGGATTCTCCACTTGAAAATTATGCGTTATGCGTGCCAATTTATTGTGTAGGTATACAAAAAGAAATTCGTCGATTTTTTGTTTTCAATGCTTTGTTCATAACCGAAAATAAACATAGACCGGAAACCCCCCCTTGAGAAAAGATCAGCAGACCGCTTCCCCCTTTTTTTGCGGCGACGGCTTAAAGTGTCACCTCCGGTCAATTTTCCAGGGATTGAAGACGGGACGGGAAAGAAAAAACGTTTGAAAATTTTAAATTTATGGGCTGTCGTCTGTAGCGAGAACGGAGAAACACAAAGAAGATACAGTCAAGGTCTGACCGCCCGTTGGTGGGGAAAGTGAGCGGAAGTTCGGATCTTGCCACTCTTGCATAAGAGTAGGATGGGTTCCACTCCCCGTCCGCGTTTCACATTGATAAACACGCAGTAGACTGAACGACGTACTTGCATTAAATGTGTTAATATATTTTTATTTTTTACATATAAAAAAAATTGAAGTAGATTTTCAAAAGAATGCCTTCCTCGCAGCGTGTTATTCTTCCATAAA